CATGATAAACCACTACAAGTACCAGGTGTGGGAGACCTTTAGAGCAAAGTTCTTCAGAAGGGTTGCAACCTATGTTGTTGACTGGCAAGAGAACCAAAACCAAGGGTCAAAGGACAGAGCGCCTGGGCTAGGAACTGAGGCAATTGAACCACCCAATTGGCGACTACAGTTCTGTGAAGTCTGGGACACTGGTCTGAGGGACTTTGTCCTGGCTAATTTCGCTAATCCTGCCACTGGAGGCTTACCCTGGAAGAAGGCTCTTCTGTAATCAATACCAAAATTGCTTGCTTCCAGCTTGGGCCCCGTGTAAAACAGAGTAATGACACCAGCGGAAATTCATTCTTTTCATTGTATTTTGCATTTGTATCTGATTTTTTTCATAGATAGGAGATCAATTGATTATAGGGTTCTTACACAGTTGTAAATTTTGTGACAACGGAATAACATTTTTTTTTCCCCTCTTTCTATACTAATGAATGAGTTATTAATGATTTTTCCTGTACTTTGTTTTTGTTAAAATGGTTCATGCTACAGCATCTTCATGTTTCTCTACACAGATGAGATAACCTAGAAGAGGACATAACTTCAAGCATTTGAATGAATGTAAGTGGAAAACCTCAGACAAAAAGTGTTAGAAAAACTTAGAATTCTATTTTATTAATAAGAATAGGATGAACTTGACTGCATAGTCTAAAATGTTTCTGAATATCTTATGGTATAGGATAACTGCATCCTCATATAATATGTATAGTTGTAACTCGTTCACTAGGAGCTTCCTAAAACTGGAAAATTGACCTAGCAATTCGGAAGCTTAGCCTATTACAAAATATATGCATGATATACATTTCGTACACAGCCCTACAGGCACATTCCCTACAGCTAAAAAATATGCCATTGCAGGTTTTGTAGCATCCTGGCATATAACAGAACCGTTATAAGGAAATACTAGGTTTGGAATTGTTTTTGTTTAAATAAGAACTTTTCAACATGCAAGTCCAAGAATGTTGCAATGCAACGCATCAGAAATAGGCAATAGAAATATTTTTAGAGACCTGAGCAAAATTGAATTACTAATTGGCAGAATATATGGGCCTGCATCCTGATGTCTTCTGCCCTCAGTTCCAAGGAGCATCAGTACCTGGGAAACCTAAAAATTCAAAAATGAAAAACAAAACAAATTCAAACTCAAGAAGATGGAGAGAGGGAGCATAAAATCACAACGTAGAGAAAACAAACAACCAAAGTAGGATATTACAAAATTTGAAAAGATAGACCAAAAGAGATGTGTTTTACATTTATGTTTTCATGCCCCAAGTGGTTGAGCAAGATTTGTGTTTTTGAACCAAGATATTGCAAATATTACAGTCGGTCAAAGTTCATCCATGTACTTCGTATATCATATTATAAAGAGAATCCAATTTATATCCATTGAGCATAGACAGCAGTGGTGCTAAATTGTGAACATTAATAAAGGCAAGTATACTGAACATTCCACCTTTATTAAAATGCATGACTTGAAACTATGACCAGTCTTCGAAATGTGATCTTAATCTTTATTTTGGCTAATGATGCCCCCAGTTTATAGTTTTGCCCTTTGTATACTGAACATAGCATGAAAATTGAAAAATGTGTCAGAGTGCATTTTCTGCACAAGAATCAGAACTTATGTTTCGAGGTAAAAGTCACTGATTGTCCTAGAATCATGAATGCTTTTCACCAACAATAAATATCCAGATATCAGATATCAAATTGTCCTAAATAATACAAACCCAATATTCTCTTCATGGCATGTGATTTGCACCTTGTAAGATTTATGATTATTTACTTGGTCCCATCAGCAACTAAATAGAGTGTGACAGAAAATTAATGAGGAAAATAGAGTGATTTTATAAATTTAAGGAAAAAAAGGTGAGGACAGAGTTCAGAACATGATTTTGCTTTTCTATCAATGGAATGCATTTGCAGAACATCCTCCATTTGTACTTCAACAAAATTGCTCTTCACGGTCGTCAAAGATGCCTTCAGATAAGATTCAGCATTCAAAAAAAGAAGTGGAAACAAGACAAGCTAAATTGGATGTCATCAAGGGTTTACTTTTGCCTGATTAATCGATGCGCCACCAAATAAATCTTTCAAAAAGAAGAAAAGACAAAAAGCACTATTCCTATTCTAGAAGTCGAACATAATTTCCTTTATAGTCTTATAATGTTGAATTGTAAAAAGGGAAAAGAAGAAATAAAGACCTACCGTAAATGAAGGCTGCGGTAATGTTATGAACAATGGATCCATGCTCATAATCTTGTTTCAAATTCACTCTTGCACCACCGTTGGCATGTTACTCATGAATTTTGCAAGTGTTGCATCCAATTTCTCTCCAATGAAAGTAATCCATGCCTGAAAATAGACGAATACGTATTTAAAAGGATTTTAAAAAAACAAAAGCAAAAAA